CAGCCCAAATGCCCAAAAGTGGATGACTGGATTAAAAGGATGAGGTACATAGACACAATGGAATATAACACAGCAACCAAAAAAATAAACACATGCCTTTTGCAGCAACATGGATGGAGCTAGAAAAGATCATGCTTAGTGAAATAAGCCAGAAATAAAAGGAAAAATACCGGATGGTTTCACTCATAGCAGGAGTATAACGGATCAAGCGAGAAAATAATAAACAGCTATATACCAGAGACATTTTATGGGGGTGGAGTGGGGCATGGGATCAAAAACAGTGGAGGGAGGGAAATGCACTGGACTATGGTGATGGCACATGGGTGAGCTGGTGATGGGAAGCCTAAGGGGATTGCAACTGAGATGGAAAAATGCACAAAATGATATAAAAAATAAACTATTATTGAAAAAAATAAAATTAACATTACTGGGACTTCCCAGGTGGCACAAGGGGTTGAGTCTCAGCATTATGAAGCTATTAGCAACCACTGAATCATGAGTTCAACCCTCAACCAGGTTGCTGACCCACATGGTGCAGCAGAACACTACTCCCCTCAGCAGTGAATGTTCCCCACTCTGTATCTGGTGAATTCTCTCACCCTCCCACACTTCTGGTCTGCACCCAAGCTCATGTATGTGCAAAAACATAAATCTTTAAAAATAAGTAAATGTTAACATTACCATTTTAAAATTTATAGGGGACCTTTAAGTATTTTGTTTATCAATGCTGACTGCAGTTATTCTGCAATATAAGTTACAATGTTGAACAAATTCCCTTTGGACTTTTTCAAAGTCTTGACATTTGCAGAAATTGTCTCTGGAGAATGAGAGTTAAGACCTGGACTTAGACTAAGTGATGGAACATGAGTGAGAATTGTCTATATAGAACTGAACGGAGTAGTAGGGATGAATATAATTGGATTTTTTGTAAAAAAATGGTAACAGTTTTACTTGAATCAAGGAGAAAAAAAATTTTCCGGGATCTGAAGCAATGTTAACTTACTTTTTCTTTTAGAAACAGAACTAAATATTTATTTGCATTTTCTCTCCCATAATACCATCGTAATAAAGAAAAATATGGCAATAATTTTTACTATTCATCGTAATGTTGTCTATCTTTTCATAATTTCAACAGGAAATTTTGTCTTTCCTTAAAATAGAAAATAGGAAATGTGTTTCATTATGAGATTGACTGACATTCTTCTGGGTGTTGAATTTGAGCTTGAATTTGAGTGGCCACAGAGCTTGCCACTTTGGGGTTCCAGAGATCTCCCACAATGATCGGGACACCTGTCCCCACTGGCAAGCTTGCCAAGCCTGGAGAGCAATGCCCAGGCAACCTAGAGAAGAGGCAATGACGCCTGTAAGACTGTCCAGACTGAATGCTGAGCATGCACTGTGACAGCTATTACAGAGCATTCCAGCAAAGCTGCTTGGTTATTCTGTCCTGCGACTTCATGCAAAAATAGGCCAAATGGGTTAAAATTAGATTTAGTTTACAAATGCATTTTGCTATACCATTAGGCAGAATTGGGACGAAGCTGGAGAGAAGATGAATTTACTAGAAAGCCATTTAAAAACTTTTTCAATCTCCCTGAGTTTCCTTTGTTTGCTATTTGTTTCACTAATGCCTCCTGATATATTTTTTTTTTGTTTGCATGGACTATCAACTATTTTCTAGAAATAGAGGACTTTGTCACACTGGATATCCACAGACAATGCTGAAAAGATTGTCTCCTGAGGCTGCATGCCCAGACCTTCATCACAGAAATTATGACAAAACTGAAAAGAGGCAGAGGTAGAGGTAGAGGCAGGGGCAGGGATTTGTTACAGACATACCTCATGGAGTCAAGGCACCATCTCTCCCACCCCACTTCACCATGCAAGCTGACCAGGACTGTTAAGTCCCATGAACCAGACTTCCTGAGCAGGAGGGCTACTGGGATCTAGAATGGAGCAGATCAGCCTGGTGGACGTATATGACATGGAACACAGACAGGCATTCTCTTTTGCTTCTGCAGCCCAACTTGCACCCTGGTACTGCTGGCAAGGAGACATGAAGAAGGAGAGATATGCAGAGACGAGAAGACACACATGGGCGAGAGGAAAGACACACATGGGTGACAGGAACGAGGCTGTCCTTGACAGAGACAGTGGCAACTGTTCTCTTGATTTTCACCTAGATTTTCATCTCTCTTTCAGTGCCAGCTCTCTGCCTAATCCCTTTCTTGGGGTTTCCTGCCAGACGGTACCTTAGATTTGTGGCAAAATTTTGGGCTTCAAGTGTCCCACTTTGGGTTATGGTTGGCCAGGCATTTGCCCTCAAGGGATGGGTAATTTGGATAGCTTTACTGGAAAAAGATTATTAGGGATATCCTTTCTGTTCTCTCTCTACATGCTAATTCTATTAAAAATCTTCCACACCAAGAAAATTAAAATTGCACTCTAAATTATTCTGTAATACTGAACTTACACTGTAAATTTTCAGAATAGTTAACATGTAACTGGTTGAAGACCAGCAAAAGGCTTATAGCTTTTTAAAAATAGCTAACATTGCCAATCTAATGACAGGGAAGACTGGTAATTTACACAAGTGAATTCTAAGGACAATTTAAGGTCCAGGCATCTATCAATACAGTTGGCAACTCACCATCCTTTCACACCCTAAGAACAAACCAGCACCATGGCTGACACAACACCTGGGTGACAGGTCATCCTGAACAGTAAGTCCACCAATATTCTTGTAAGCAAATCTAGATCTATCAAAGGAAGCTAGCTGACGCAACAAGTGAAGCAGACCAACCACTGATTCCAATTTGGTCATTGACAAAATTTTCAATTTATAGGCTGCAATCCACTAAGAGATCATGAAATTAATTTATTGGGTTAAAGCAAGTATTTTGCAAATAGCAGTTCTATAGAAATTGTCAAAATGATTGCATACAAAAAGGGCGTATTTTCATTAATCTTTTAATTATGTATGTATTTACTGGGCTATAATGGTGTGAAAATGTTTTGAGGACCATGGTCAAAGGAGTCTGAGGAAAATTGCTGATTTAGGGAATTCTGATTACAACCATTCTAACTACATATGTCAAAGAGAACTAAAAACAAAGACAAAATGTCCTAAATATATAGAATTTTGACACCCAGGAACTCTGTAGTAGCTGTATCATTAAGCTGAATGAATTATACTGGCTCCAGGCCCTCCCTGGTGGTGCAAAGGGTTAAAGCACAGCACTGCGAAGCTAGCCACAGCAGCCTCAGCCAGAGTTCAATACCTGGTTGGGGTGACCCACATGGCACAACAGATCTCTCCGACCCACCCGCTGCTCCCCTCAGCAGTTTATTTCATCGATCTGCCTATTCTGTTCCCCACTCTCTCTTTGGTGCATCCTCTCACTGCCCCTGCACCTCTGGCCTGTACCCCAGTTCTGTATGCATAAATAAATCTTAAAAAAAAAAATGCTGGCTTCAAACCAGTACATAAAGGCCATCTGTATCTTCTGATTAAAAAATATTTCCAAAAATACACTCAAAAATGTAGGAAAGGACTAAATGAGCATATACCAGGAATGTCAATAGAACAGTGGCAAAAACATAAAGGACTCATTTTCTTCCTAATTTACCTGAGTTTTCTATACTTTCTGTAACAACAATGCAATCTTTTTTTTTTTTTAAGATTTATTTATTATGTATATAGAACTGGGGTACAGGCCAGAGATACGGAGGGTGAGAGGATTCACCAAAAACAGAGAAGGGAGCAGAACAGCAGATCGACGAAGTACACTGCTGAGGGGAGCAGCGGGCGGGTCAGAAGAGGTCTGCCTCGCCATGTGGATCTCCTCCGGGGCAGTCAGGAATTGAACTCATGCGGCAGTGGCTTAAGCTTCTTAGTGCTGTGCTTTACCCCGCCGCACTACCAGGGAGGGCTGCAATCTTTTTTTTTTTTAAGGAGACTAAACACACATGACAACTAAATGCACTCTCTGATCATAAATTGATTAATCCTGTACTGCAGAGGAAAGTGCTACAAAGGACCTAAACAACATTGGAATACAAATATCAATGTTTTGATTAACAGACCAATTTTCATTAACAGAATATTCATATTCTTCACAAATACACTAGGGGGGGAAAAAGGCCATGTACCTTAGTGTTGGATTATGTGTACTCACACATACGTGCACACACACACACACACATAACACACACATGAAAACAAATGATGAAGCATAATAGGTTAATATAGTAACTGTAGACTGCTCTGGGTAGAGGGCTGGATGCTCTCTGCACTACTTTTATTCTTGCAACATTTTTTGAAATTTTACTTTATTTCTAAAGAAAAAGCTGAAAAACATCCATTTTACAATAAGGTGAAGCAAAAAACAGTAACTCATTCAGAGTAATTCATGCATGTCAAGTCTTTTCTCAGAAATCCCCGGTGTAAGAAAGAGGGATGCTCTATGTCTATGGCTTTGGAATGCCAAATGAAGCCCTGTTCTTGCAGCAAACAGGCCCTGTTCACTGCTCTCCCTCCCGCTGGAGGTTGGGTCTTACCTTCGCCTCCCCAGTGCTCGATGGCTGTTGGATGGTCTGGCCCAGCTGCTTCAGTGTGCTTGGCTTCAGGCCACAAGTCCTCACAGAGGGCGTTTTATCTGAAACAACCAGGAGCAAAAGCAGAGATTTAAGTCCATTCAGAGCCCCCAAGCCTCTCTTCTCTGTTCTTAATCCCCCATTCCTATCCTCTTTGCACTAGACAGCCCATCCTCCCATGCCTGCCCCACTCCTTACCGCTCATGGGAAAGGCCTGTCTGGCACTAGGCAGCCCCATGCTGCCACCTCGCCCCACATTGCTTGGGGCCGGGAGGATTGCTCTCATGGGTCTCGCTGCAGCCAGCAATGCAGGCTTGCCCCTTGCTCTGCCTTTAATCTCTGGGACTCTCGGCCCAGGGGTGAGATCAACGCTGAAAAAAAGAAGGGAAATCTAGAAAATCTGGACCAATGGCAAGAAAAGCCAAAGTGCAGTGTGAAAAAGTACTTCATTAGAAGGATAGTGTAATGGTTAAACTATCAAGCTTTAGACAAAGTACTTTCAAATTAAGTAATGAAACAGCTATGTGGTCCTGGGCAAGCAGTTTCACTTTTCTGTTAACCTCAAGTTTTTCATACGTAAAGTGGAACAATAAGTACATATATGTCATGAGATAATCATAAAAACACGCAAAGCAGCGCCTACAGTGTGGGAGACCAGCAGTAACTGCAGTTATTCTAGAACATTTAATCTGCTTCTAATTAGAGCAAGTAGTCAAAGTGCGTCAGTCTCCCACACAAGGATGGTTCTGAGATCCTGGAGAGCAAAGTCTGTGCCTCCTTCATGCTTACTGCTCCAATGCCCAGGACAGAGCCAGCACCATAGAAAACCTCAATTCACATTTGGGCAGTGAATTCACTTGCCCAAACAAAACACACAGTTAAAAATGCACAGCCTAAAATATAGTTTATATAAAAAAAAAGGCAAAGTGCACAAGTCATGCTCTAAGAATACAGAGCCATTTGGATAAATGCTGTTAAAAAAAGGCAGGTCACAGACAGAAACATGTACATTATACTAATCGGTATGTGCAAGGAGTAAACAGACATATACATACACATGTTTGCATATACTTAAAATTATCTCTAGAAATGCAGAATGTTGGGACTTTTGATTGTATGAATGGAAATGGATAATTGAAACATGGGATTAAAGGAAAATTTTTTCATTATCTATTCCTTACTTTTTAAATTTGAATTTGAACCAGGTGAATATATTTCAATATTAAAATATTTTTTAAATTTGAATTTGAACCAGGTGAATATATTTCAATATTAAAATATTTAAATAATAATATAAACTAGAATTTCTAAACCTTGCCACTATTTACACTGTGGGCCAGATAATTCTGGGTTGTGGGCTGTCCTGTTCAGCAGCATCCCTGGCCTCTACTCAAAGATGCTAGTAGAACTCCACACCTCACCCCTAGTTGTGACAACCAAAATTATCTCAAATGTCTCCAGGGGCAAAACTGTTCCCCACTGAGAATTGCTGATATAAACAAATAAAAGTCCTTGGTTACCAGAACACAACTGCCTCTGGGAAGAGACGACATGGAGAAGCCTGTTAAAACCTGAGGAGGAAAGGGATGAAGCAGAGCCCTCAGTCTGGACCTCCTATGGCAAGGCACTGGACTGCTAGCTTGTACACAATCGTATTCACTGTATGGGCAGCTAGCCAAAGTTTTAAGGACCTGATTCAAGATGTTTCTGAGGAAAGAACTGAAGGTCAGGGGCACAAAATGATTATGCCCAATGTCAAACAGAAGACACAGACTAAAGCAAGACCAGCACTGCATTCTCTGACCATGAGGCCAGGCATCCTTCTCCGAGGTGCCTTCAGAGGCTTCTTTCCAAAGCCGGTGTCCAGGATCACAGCACAACACTGACCACGGCCTGTACCAAGGAGACCCTCACATCTGCTTCAGAGACCGATGAGAGGCGTGTAGGGAATCTGACAGCAGGGCACTACGCAGCGTATCAAGAAAGGCAAATCACGAGCAGTCTCTAGGCCCTGCTCTCTGAATCTCTACGACAGAGAGCGTAACTGCTGCCTCCCGAATGAGCGCAGCAGGGGGCGCAGGACAGACAGACACAGGGCGGTTCCCAAGCAGCTAGTCAAACACAGCCTTATTCTATATAAACAGATTGGCTTACCCTGCTGCTTTTTTAGGAGCGGGGAGTGGACTGGAGGTGCCGGTCCCCTCGGCTGCTGGTGGTATGTCTGCTCCAGGGCTGTCACTGTCAGCTGTCCCCAGAGTGACCTCAGGCTGCACACCATTCTTGACCACCGGTGTCTTAGTCACTGCTGTACCACGATTCCCAGGAGCTTCCTTGACCAGAACATGGGCATCCGAGATGATTACTTCTTCCCACTCATTCTCCTCACCCGCTTCTCTCGGAGGAGCTACACTTAGGAGCTGGCTCACAGCTTCGGAGTTCTCCAAAGTCAGCTGGGAGGCATTTTCCTTAAGGGAATTTTGCTCAGTGGTGACAAGCTGCTGATGTCTTTTAACTACAGAGCCCCTGGAAGATACACCGGAAGCCAATTCCACTTTGACTTTGGCTGGTTTTTCCTAGAAAATATAAGAATAACCTTGTATGCATATAACATTTTACAGTTGACAACACATTCAAAAATATTCCCTCAGATGACCCTCATAACAATAGCGTATGGGCATTAGGTAAAGGAAACCGAGGCTGCAAGTGAAGCTCAGTGAACAGAGTGGAAGAGGCTACCTTAAGGTGCCAGGTCTAAAACTGACGCGAACAGAACTCTTCTGGTATCAGGTCATTTCACTAAAGCATTCAATGCCTCACGTAAGATTAGGCTGAGCTCCTCCTAACAAATATATCAATATGCTTCTATGGGTTTCAGCAAATGATGGCACTGTTTTAGCTTGACCTCTGACTCTCCAAAGCCCACTTACATGTTTGGAAAACAGACATCTGAATATGCAATTCCTAGGTTGTACTCTCCCAAACCCCTCTGATTCAGTTAATCCCAATGTGGCTTCAGTGTCCTATGGAAAGCTTCAAAGCTTCCAGCTCTGTTGAGGAAAACTCTTTTGTCCCACTTTATTTCAGGTGAGTATCAGGACACAGCCATTTGCCACATACTAGGCAAATATTAACTCATACATATTAAGTCCTAGAAAATATTCAAATTCACTAAAAATAGCTCCCTGGTGGCGCAGCGGGTTAAAGCACAGCACTAAGAAGCTAAAGTCACTTCCACATGAGTTCGA